TACCCAAGCCTAGGTATAGGTACCTACATCTACATCTAGGTAATGATCTCAACACTCTATTAAAGCAATATTTCTGTACTGCAAAATATTAAACCGTCGATGTAAGGAGGCAAAGACAGCATTTTGTTCACCCTTGGTGGTTGATCTCTTCGATCAGTTGTCGAGGAGGGAGTTCTGATCAGAGAAGATATTTTGGGTTTTAGTTTGTTGTCCTTGTAAGGGGATGGAGGGTTCGCTAGGAGTGGTGCAGACCTGTATAGAATAATGAGGGCCAGTGGGTCCAAGCAATATAAATGCAAATGCATTTTGAGAGAGACTCCATTCTGATTCAAAGCTGATGAGTATCTCAACTATTACCAAGTAATGACCTATTGCGTAAGTTCCCAGATGTGGGGCTGGACCACGGAGCCAGCCAATACTCTTCTTCTTTTCATGCCTATATAGGGCTGGGATCTTGACAGGTTTCAAGTTATAACCTAATTTACCTTATGAGCCCCATCCGAAACGGACCCCTGAGCAATTCTGGTACTGTAAATGTTTTTTGTCTTTAACGTCAAGTAGGTACTTTTTTACCAGTGAAATATCAGGAACTTCCATATGATAAAAACTGATTTTCACATGTAAAGATATCACATTTATATTGTCCAATCAGAACAGTACTTTCTACTCACTACGTAGATTTTCAGTTTCAAGTTCAAATAAATCGACGGCCCAAAGAAATGGATTTGGTACACCTTTGCAACATACATTATGATATTTACCTAACAACGCTTTTTTAAAAAATCTTTCCAGATAATGGCTTCAAGCGGCAGAATTGCGTAGAATAACCCATCCAAAATGGTGCTCTGCCTTGTAGTCAAGCGTGACGTCATTGAAAACCTGGCGTTAAATATTATGCTTCGAATTCCTGCACTTTCATGAAAAAGCAATATTTGTGTCATATTACTTGATCAAGAGGTCCAATGTGTCTACATCGCTCTCTTAGAATTAGCCTCACACTTGTAGCCTTAAAAATGGGTCAAGGTCAAATTTATTCAAATGAACTAACTTGAACTTCAACATCAATAGCTTGACCTTTTACGTTTTGACATCCAAAAGAACCTGATGAAGCTGTTTCAAGATTCAAATATATGTGACCCGATCGCCCTTGAAAGTGGGTCAAGCTGGTCTGTAATCCAGGCAGGCTACTGGCCAAATGTCACCAATATCGACATTTTAGTTGATTTTGGTTATTAAGATTTTTTTTTACATATTTGACCCATGACCTTCAAAGTTGGTCAAAGACATTCATCTTAGCAAACCCTTTGTTCCAGCTTTTATAGGTCAAATATAATCACCCTGGGCCTTTTGGTAATTCAAAAGTTGCTTAAAGACTTTTTTTAAACATTTGACTCTGGTTACTTTGAAAGGGGGTCAAGGCTATTCATTTGGACCTAGATACCTCTTCATCTCAGCTTGCTACTGTCCAAACATCACTATCCTGTGCTTTTGGTTACTAAAACAAAATTGTTAAGTGATTGTAAAACATATTTGTCTTAAGTGACCTTGAAAGTGGGTCAAGGTAGTCTGAGTTATCCAAGCATCCTACTGGACAAATATCATCACCCTGCACTTTTTCGTTATACAGAAGTTGTTGACAATTTTGAACATATTTGACCAATGACCTTCATAGTAGGTCAAAGTAATTCATTTGAACAAACCTGGGAAGGCCTAAATAACAAGAGGCCCAATGGGCCTGCATCGCTCACTTGGTATTAATCTCACACTTGTAATCTTAAAAGTGATCTAAAATAAAACTACAGGCAAAATATCAGTAATTATGACTATAAGTCATTCAAAAGAACCCCCTCCCCCGTGTTTCCTCTTTCCCCATACTAATAATCACCATATACACTAAAAATCATAAATGTCGGAACGATGAACAGAATTAAGTAAAAGACAAGACGAGGTTTCTAAGAAAGATGACATTGATAAAAGTACAGTCAGATATATTTTCAGTAACGAATAATGAAGAATTAAGGATTACATTGAACGGACAACAAAAAAACAGCACATGCATGACTCTAACCACTAACGTATACAGTCCATCGGATGGGACTATAAATGGTGGCCCGTGTGAGAACTGTCCAATCTCTCACGAAAAAGATCCCTCCGAGTTTTTCGAAAAAGAGTAGGCGCGTAAACGCAGACATGGAGGATATAGTGTGAGTTTTATTCCAAATTTTCGGCCGGCAAGAACTAGCACGGAATTCGATTAGAGCTGTTATCTAAGTCCGTGCTCTAACACACATGCCACACCTGTAACAGCATCACCCGTGCCTTTTGTGGAGATCAAAGGTTTTCCAAATATATATGTTTTTACATATTAAACATTAAAATGGCTTCACTTTGGTCGACATTTAAAAAGACAACAACAACAGGAACTACTGCAAATCAGTATTACTCTTTGTCAGAAGACAATAAACTGACCACAATTTTTAGGCAAGATGACAAATTTGGTATAAAGAGAAGGAAAAATGGCAAGATGGTTTTTGAGCCCTGTGTTCCGCAGCCGGAACGATTCTTATGCATGCATAGGTATTATACTTCTTTGAAAGGTGACTTGGGTTACAAAAAAAGAATCACAACATTTACAGGTGTACCATCCGATCTCCAAAATCTTACTAAAGTAGCATTAGTAGAATATTCAGGTGTGAGAATGAGTAAGAATATCCCACATGGCAATTCTAAATTCAATCAGGCATATGTAAGAACTGATCCCAAAGTTTTGGAAGATTGTGCATTCCATGCTAAAACCAAATCAGCTACAGAAGTCTGCTACATGATGACAAAAGACAACAGTGTCCTTGGACCAAAAACTGCCAAACAAATTAATGATAAAATTTACAAGGACAAGAAAAACAAAATCAGCCTCAAAACCAAAATACAAGCAATATTGCTGATGAAGCCTATCAATTATTTCCCAAATTCATACAAACCCAAGCATTCAAAAAATCGAACATGGAAAGCACAAACTTCCATATGTAATCTTGTATATAGATGAACAGCTGTCAGATTTGAGGTCAAATTGTGTAGGAGAAGGTGGTAGTGTGTTAGGAGTGGATAGGACATTTAACATAGGGAAATGTTTTGTGACCACGCTCACATACAAAAGTTAGGGTGTGGTACATAAGCAAACAGGCGAAAATCCCACTATGCTAGGACCAATGTTTTTACATTGGGATGGGGAAATGAAGACATACCACTCGTTTTTCTCTCATGTTAGGGCAGAATTAGGCAATGTCCCGTTACTGTTGGTAGTGATGAAGAGCGTGCTATGACGAATGCCTACCAAACATATCAAAGAAAACATCAGTAGGTTCTTAGAAAAATCTGGTACTTCTTTAAAAGACAGGCAACACATAACCAACATCACCTTTGGCGAAGACGGAATCGTTTTCAGCAAAGATGATCTTGAGTATAAATCAAGAAAAGCAGAGCTTGAACAATATTTTGAAAAAAATCCAAAGTTTCAGCATTATTGGTTAAAGTTTCTTGAAAGCAAAATCAAAGCATATGTCATGGCACCTCTTCGGGAAAGGAAAGTCAATGCTCTTTGGACCAACAACAATTCGGAGTCAATTAATAACAGATTGAAACAGGTTGCAAATTTCAAACAGCATAAATTACCTCAGCTAGTTGAAAAAATGGCCTAAGTGTCTCAAATGCAGATACTTGATTTAAGACGGGCATTTCATGTAACCTGCAACTTTAGGCTAGAAGGCAAAACTACATCATTTGAGGCGGACCAGGAAATTTCGAAAAAAAAAGGACCCCCCCCCCACCCCCCCCACATATTTTAGAACCTTTTTGGTCAAAAGAAAGAATATTACCCACGAAAACAATTTTGCTAAGGCTTCAGGCACAGACTGCTTGTGCCGAAAACCGAACCGAACCCAAACTGTGGCAAAAACACAAAAATCTGAAAGATCAAGAACAGTAAAAAAAACCAGTAGGCCAGTTCCATGAGTATTGAGTCACAAGTATCTACTGTACAGGGAATTTTGTGTTACGTCTTCATTTCATTTCCCCATTTCTCTTATGCTACATATTTATAGATTATTGTATTGGTGAATCACAACATGATCCGCTATCTCTTCAGATATTGCTTTTCGCAAATGGACATGTTGTGTCATTCATTAGTTTAATTCTATTAAATGTCATAAATTCTTTATCCCCCATTTTCCTTAGGTTATTTTATAGTGTTGTTTAAATTCCAAGTATTTAGGATGTATGCTTTTTCCATTATTTACGTGGAAGATATCTCTTGGGATAAGTAAACCAGATCCGCTTAATTTGGTTTATTTTTTTCATTTTATATTATACTTGTTGATTTCGTTTTATTTTTATCATAACGTTTTCATTACACACTTTCATATAAAATTGTTTTATTATATCAACTGATTGTTGAAAATTGTGACAACTTGTTCAAATAATATTTATTTCAACAACTCTTTTATGACAATTTTATGTTTTATGTACTGCAAATGTATTTTCACATATTTTAACAACTTATTTTCATCGTTGTATTTGTAATCTATGTATATATATGTGTTAAAATATGATTATCAAAATAAATGGTTATGATCAAATAATCTGACTGAGTCTTTATGTGTTTAACAATGCTGTAATCTGTAACATCGCGATGCAAGGGAGGTAACACATATACCATACTCTCGTAATTTCGAATTGAAGGAATTGACAGTTGATGCCGAAAAACAGGTTACTATATTATAATATTAACTGAATATTATTAATGTGTCGTCTGTGTTTTTTTGTGGTCTTATCGGTGTTTTTGGGTGTTTTTTGGGTGTTTTTGGGTGTTATTGGGTGTTTATGGGTGTTATTGGGTGTTTTTGGGTCTTGTTGGGTAAATGGTGCCACCCCAAACCGAACGCCCCTCAAAGTAGTCTCGTTCAACCAGACGCTTGATCATGATCACTTTATTCGGAGTAGCTTGCGCAGGCAACAAGAGTCTGGTTGAACGAGACTACTCTCAAAGTTGAGGTGTCCAAGATGGCGGAGCAGTCGGACAGACGAATCAAAGTCGGAGTCCTCACAGGTGTTTACTTGTTAATTAGAAATAATTGTTGTCTGACACTCGATTGTATCATTTTATAAACAACTGATGCTAATTCGTTGTGACAACGGAAACATGTATGTTGTGGTATATACCTAATATAGTGTTTCAATGTTTACTTTGTCACGAGTTTGTATCGTCTAGTCACCAGTTTCCGCGCGTTATGTATTTCCGCGCAGCCATTTTATCAAGCTATATCTAGAAACTACGTGACCTGCTGGACACAACACAAGGATATTTTAGACGTTTGGCCATCGTCTGTAAACTGGCACAAAAATTACCGGAAGTTCGTCCGGAAAACAAAAGAAATAATCACCGATTAAAAAAACACTCATAAATATGCAGTTTTGCTAATGCACTTTTTATCTTGCTCAAAATGAGTCCATACCTGTAAAAACGGTGATATATGTCATTCATGAACCGGTCTTTTTTGTAGTCTGACAAACGTACGAAAAGGTCGTATGCAAATGAGGCCACATCTCCTCGCCGATTTCCCCCCACTTCCGAAGAGCCAAGGAGACATTCTTATATCTATTAACAGTGTTTTTAATGAAACGTAAACCTTGTAATGCAATGAACTTCCAATTTTCACCAAATTTAATCAGAACAAATTGAGAAATAACTTACCATCAACCAAAACCGATATAAAGCTGCAGAAAAAAATAATAACAGATTCTATATTATAACACGGAATTAGATTATATCTAAGTCTGTGGTTTAACTAAACAAATATAATAAATAATTAAAAAAAATTACATGAATTTGTTCAATTTGACATCTTGAAAAATCTCTTAAAAATGTGAAATTTATGAAAAGTTGTTTTGATAATTAATTAGACGATCAAAGATATTTCTTTATTCCAAACGAAGCTTTTGTTCTTGCAGGTCACTGTAGAGAATTTCTTTTTATTGTATTCAAGTTATCTTTCTTTGAACACTAAATCAAAATAGACACACGGAAACATATGACGGCTACTTCTGACGGGAGAAATTTGTTAAAAATTGTTTGTTCTGATTTTTTTTAAATACAGTTTTATGTTGCTAGTTTTTTGTTTCCATTAGTAGATTGTATACATGTTTATGACAGTCATCCGTAATTTCAACAGTTTTCTGCTGATATGAGTACGAAATCGCGGATGCTTCTTAAGTGCGCGGAAACCGGTAACCCGAGGATACTGGTAACTGCCTAAAATGGCTTCTTCATCTTCTTATTCTGAATACTAGTGGGCCATCAATGCTGATGATTTATCACTAGGCGTTGGTTAACAGGTTAAAAGTAAAACATTTTTTTGTTATTTTAATTTATGATAAAAACAATGAAGTGACTTAAAGTTGCGCGAGAAAGGACACTGTGATGGTAGATTTGAAGACATCAACAGTGTCGACAGAAACGAAAGACTACAGGAGCCTGAAGTTCTGTCAATAATGAATAATAACAGTAATACAAAAAAATACCTTTAAGCATATTAAAGTTTTTTTTTGTTGTATTACTGTTATTATTCATTATTGACAGAACTCGAGGCTCCTGTGGAAAGACTGAGGGAGTAGATTCCACTGAGTTATAGTTCTGGGGTAGAAGGAGTATTTGTAGCAGTTTTTAGACGTTTGGAGGTGTTTGAGGCATATGGGTTATGATGACTTGCACGAGTGTGGGGGTCTACAAGTGAGAAGATTTCCTGATTTGACAGCAACATGGTAATTAAAGAACAGTTTTGTAAAACATGATTTGTCTGAATTGGAGACGGCGGAGATGTAGGGGTGGCCGGTTGAGAGTGTTCATCATGGCAGTAGCAGAGCTAGTGTTGTGGTAGTTGTTACAAACATATCTGGCTGCTCGACGCTGTGCTTTTTCGATCTGTTTAATTTGAGAGGAGTTGTGTGGGTCCAAAACTGATAGAGGCACTGTACTCTAGTTTGGGCCATACCAGGGTTTTGTAAGCATGGTCTTTGATGTTCTGAGAATTTACTTTTAGGTTGCGGCGCAGAAAACCTAGTGACTGATTTGTCTTGGAGGTCATAGAATTGATGTTGTTGTCCCATTTGAGGTTCAATTAGATTGTGTTTGTTGTTTGTAGTGTGTGGCCATGTAGTTTGTATATTGAGGGTGGGTTTGACTGATGTTTACTAGAGACCAGGAGAACCGTGCACTTATCGGGGTGGAACAACATCAGCCAGTCCATTTCCCAGGCTGCCGCAGCATCAAGGTCAATTTGGAGTTTTTCAACAAAGCTGGTATTTTTATTATCTCGATAAATGATACTCTAGTCAGCATATAGACCTAGGGTACTGTGTTTCATGTATTCTACCAAATCATTAATATAGATTAGGAATAGTATGGAACCTAGGACAGTACCCTGGGGGACACCAGATGTGACAGGGATTGTGTTTGATCTTATACCATAGAAATTTAGCTTGTAGAGAAGACGGGGGTGGGAGACTTTATCGAAGGCTTTTACGAAATCCATGACAATAACATCAGTGAGTTTGTTCTGGTTGTTTGATGAAGCTAGATCTTGTATAAAGGAGATAAGTTGTGTCTCACAGGAACAGGATGATCGGAAGCCGTGTTGGAGTTCATAAAGGATATTATTAGATTTAAGGTGATTCATGATATTACTACAGAGGATATGTTCACATAGTTTGCAGCAGATACAAGTGAGAGAGCTAGGACGGTAGTTTATAGCATTGTGTTTGTCTCCCTTTTTGTAGACTGGGCATACATTCGCATGATTCGACTTACGGGGGATAGAGCCAGAGTCTAATGATTTTTGGAAATCAATTGGAAATCAAATGGCAGTCAGGTCCAGGTGTTACGAGCCATGCAATGTACGTAGCCCGAATTTCCTCTGGCCCTGACACCAGACTTAGACATGTTGACAGATAAATGTGGGGTCAGAGCGCACTGCTATATATATGAAAATGTGGAATCAACTAATGAACAAAAAGGCGTGGTCCGGAAATCTTCTAAAAGGCTCACACAACTAAATCATTTACTATATGTTATTACTAAGCTTTTGAGGTAATAGCGTTAATATTTGAAGTTCAACACTAGTGACATCTGTCTAGATTCACAGATACATACCTTACAAAGGATTCAAAAGGCTTTTTTTGTGTGAGTTTGGTGGCATGTAAGAGCGCTACAGGCGTCTGCTTTTGACAACCAGAAGTTTACAAGCCAAATCAGTGAAATGGGATGGGAACATCCCCTGACATTTGACCCCATATCAATCCGCCATCACATTTTAAAATCTACTAAAACTATACATTTTTCTAAAGTTCAATATCTGTAGATTTCATTCAATGTAAAATATGTTGACAATTACCTATTTCAATTACTCGGAGGCACTGTATTAACCCGGAACAAATTTTAGATAGGGATTACAATCGTATGAAACACTTGCTGATTAGCTGATTTAGTTGTGTGAGTCCTAAACAAGAATAACATATTCTGTTTTCGGTCTGGATCAGTACGGTTTGTTGATTAGTCACCCCATGACCTACAAAAATGGCGTTCGCTCAGGTGGGAAATTTTGAACGTTGAAAATCGAGAACTCTACTGACGAAATTTAGCTGCTGTTGATGATAATAAGAGCTGATTTGGCGGGGGGGCGGGCAGAGGAGCAGGGCCCAATAAGGGAAATAGAGAAAAATCCCCCCCTCTAAAATGAAGGGATTTAAACCAAATGTTGTCTAAAGCATGCTTAGGGTAAACAAACTCTATGTGTATAATTTGTATGAATTAAGGCTGTGGCCGCCCCTTTGGGGCAGAAGGGTGCATGTGAGGTCACATAGGGGAAATAGTGGAAAATTAAAAATCTTTCTCCTTTTTATTTAATGAAGGGATTTTAATCAAACTTCTTCTAGCACATCTTTGGGAAAAGTTTTAAATGGAGTTTGTGCCTGTATTGGGAGAACCTGAAAAGACAATGACATATGGCCAAACTGACCATGCTGTACATGACTAAATGTATACCCCGTCAGAAGTGTCTCCACCAAAGATACTGCCAGGGCCACATGGTACCCCACACAATGCCAACCATGTATAGGAAACTATTCTTTTTCTGCCAGGCCGTATGAATATTTACCAAATAAGAATAAGATCAAAATCAAATGTTTTTCATTTCTAACCAGTAGTTTTTAGCTTATGCCATATACTGCAGTGTCCGTCCGTCCATCAACTTTTCCTTTAAAACGCTACTTGTCCTGAACAGCCCAGTAGATTTTGACTAAATTTGGTCTGGAGCATTCTTAGGTCAAAGGCATTCAATTTTGTATAAACAGTGGGTGTGGCCCTCCTGGGGTCAAAGAGGCGGGGCCCAATAGGGGAAATAGAGGTAAAACCTTTAAAGTTCTTCTTCTACCGTAGGGATAAAGGGTTTTTTATCAAAATTAAGTCTGGAGTATCCTTAGGACAGGGGGACTGAATTTTGTATAAACGGTGGGTGTGGCCCCCCTGGGGGCAGAGGAGAGGGGTCCAATAGGGGAAATAGAGGTAATACCTTTAAACTCCTTGTTCTACCATAGGGATATAGGATTCTATACTAATCTAGCCTGAAGCATCTTTTGACCAAGGGGACTCAATTTTGTATAAACAGTGGTTGTGACCCCTTTGGATGCAGAGAGGCAGGGTTCAGAAGGAGAATTGGAGGTGTAAATCTTCGAAATCCTTTTTTTTGTAATATTGGCGGGGTTTTATCAAAATTTGGTCTGGAGTATCCTTTGGCAAAGAGGACTAAATTGTGTGAAAAACGGAGGGTCATGCCCCTCTGGATGCAGAGTTATTGGGCCCAATAGGGAAATTTTAGGTTTAAATCATTGGAGGGATTTTATCCAAATTTGGACTGGAATATCCTTGGGCAAAGGGGACTAGATTTTGTATAAATGGAGGTTGTGGCCCCTCTTGGTATAGAGTTACGGGGCCCAAAAGAGAAATTTGAAGTTTGAATGTTTAAAATCCTTCTTCTCCAGTACCATTGGAGGGATTTTATATAATAAGAATAATTTCCCATGGTTGCTTTATTATCCAGGTGAGCGATACAGGCCCTCTGGGCCTCTTATTTCAACCTCTGAAACCTCCAATGAGGGAGACTCCCTAATTCCATATTTCCAATGAGGGAGAAAGTGCGTGAAACATGACTGAAACTGCTTTGCTCAATTTATTTTTCCCTTTTTATGTGTCAAAATAACTCCCAAAAGCATTCATTTGATTCAAACACAACTGTTGTGATCATTACACACACTCTGCAGTAACTAGGAGATCATTTGACCACAGGATGTAGATTTTGAGTTTGTGTGAGTTGGGATTTGAATGAGAGAGTTTCAAGGGAGATTGGTAAATTTAGGTCAAAATGAGGGAGGTTTGACAGCTATGTCATTTATTTTACAACAATTATGAAACAAGTTACTTCAACTTATATTAATCACTCTTGCTGGCACGGATGTTAGTGCACCCCCGGGGGGGGGGTCTTAGTGTAGGAGGAAACCGAAATAAAAGCTGAATTTGTGTTGTTATATTTTCAGTAAGTGACTCTTGTTTCAAAGGAAATGCAGAGGACAAAAGTGGATCGAACCTATGCCATCTTATAGATCAAGATCAATTGTAAGTAGTGCACTATTGAAAATTCTTTCAAATCAAAACATAACTTAGTATTCTATGCAATATCCAAATATAGAAACTGTACTCTTTGTTGCAAGCCAGATACTCCTTTGAAAATCCAATGAAAATTCCATAAACTGTTGGACAAACGTATAAATACAAAATTATCATTGAAAACAACATCAAAACATATAGGCGACATACATACCCCCAGTATGTATACTGCATATACAGTAAGTGTAAATAAAATGGTAACATGTAATTATAATTGCATGTTATGTTCATGTTTGTTCATAGATGTGAAAATGTATAATTTTTTTCTTTTTGTTAAAGATATCTACAAATATCGTTTATAATTTAGCATTAAAACTGTCAGATGTTTTAACTGTTTGCTTTGATTCAATCATACACAGTTGAAATTTGTTAATATGGTGAAAGAAATTTCATAGTGTTTTGGAAGAAAGGGAAAAAGTTTTGTATAAATAAAATTACAGTATTTATTTCATATTATCAAAATAAAGTGATTTGTCAGCTCTTTAAGTGATGTTTTAATCGCAGTTAAAATCTCGCATTCAAACTGAATTAAATATTTGTTTCTTACAGAATTGCTGGAAATGTTTCAGTTAAAGACATTGTACCTGATGACATTGAAAAAATCAAGGTTTGTATATATATACTAATGAAGGTTTTAAAGATGGAAACCTGTATAGCCTGACATTAAGATTGTCATAATGTATATAATTTCCTAAAATGTATATGACAAGTGTTTTAAGGTGAATGCATCATCATTATCACCAAGTGATTTTATGGAAGCTTTACTTTGAATAAAGATTCATATAGCACAGTGAAATGTTTACATTTGATGTTTTGAAGACTAGTGCAGTACATGCTCTGTGACTTAATCAGAAATTAAAATGACCAGTAAATTGTGTCGTATACCTGTATTTTAATCACTATATTTACAGACTATATAGTGCAAATATATTTTTAGTAAGCTGACCCCACTAGACATTCATTGTTGAATCTCTCAACGGAGTACATTGTAATGGTATAGATCATAAAAAGAAATACAGAAAATGACAAGATCAGCAAAAACTGCATCCTCCATATCCAGGGGTTATGCTCACTTTCGCTCTCTGCACCCCTGGAATATTTCATAGTAAAATCGAAGGCTCAATGTCTTCTGGATGAGATGAGAAGGCTAGTTTGATCCTTTGATGTACATCAAACATCAAGAGAATCTTGCGATCGCTTAATGGTAAAACTTATTGGCTTTGAAGTCGGGCGTCGCTCCTCTGTTATCTTCAAAGGACAAGCATCAGCCTAGTGATTGGTCAGGTTTTATTTTACCAACCAATCAATCAAATAGCTAGCCGCATGCCTTCATTTTTGCTATGACATATTCCAGGGGTGCAGAGAGATAAAGGAGAAAGTGAGCGTAACCCCTGGATATTGGATATTGACGATGCAAAAACTACTTATCCTGTCCTACTGAACACATGTGTAGGTCTTAACATCAGTTTAATGACTGACTTCATGGTCAAGGTCCCAATAATATACAGTCGGGTCAAATGTCCAACTGCAGATGCTGGATAATGGCCGGACTCTATATGGTATGTTAGTTCCTGTCTACTGTGCATAATCTCATGATTATCTTTATTTACCCCAGAAAACACTGAAGGAGTGGTGTGATGTGAAAAAGCTGGACCTGGTACTGACAACGGGTGGCACAGGATTTGCTCCAAGGGACGTAACTCCAGAGGTAAATGTGGTCTGTTGTGCCATAAAATATTCAATTGAAATGGCTTTCAAAACAAAATGGGCATATGTTCATACAGTGAACTTTTATGTTTTCCACATCTCAGATAATAGGTTATCACATCCTTCCAAGTGGAATCTTGGGACATTTTTGCTATTTGCACCAACAAAAGTGTGTAAACTATTTTAAAGAATGCAGAGATGCTACATTTACTCAAAGGATCTCAAACAAGTAGTGATTGATTGTTTATATGCATTCAATAATGTATTTATACTCAGGAAATGTTTAAGAGAACACTCACAGTATTCTATTTTTTCCCCATACATGTAATAGGTCAAAATATTGAAGAGAAAAGTACTTTTTCTTTCTCTTTTTAACCCATTTATTAAGGGGAAAAAAATTTCCTCTGTACCAAACGCTATGTTAGGAAATAGATTCAATCACAACAGGTGAAGGAGCAAGTAGTTCTTGTAGTTTATTAGAAGTGTCGACCGATTTCACCCCTACAGTGGGCTTCTTCAGGACCTACATGGAAATGCTATGTTATGTATAATTTGACCTGTGTGATTGGGAGTGTTTGATATATATGATATCAGTGATTTTTTTGGCCCAGTTCTACAGCCGAATACAGGCTTTTTCCTTCCCCTTGCTAAAAAAGTGTCTTATTTTCCCAAAATTACCAAAAGATGAGGAATATATTCCCAATTTCAATAAAATAATGCTATATTTTCCCAATTCATAACAGAATAGGCTGTTGTAAAATTAAGGTATAAAAACCACTGGATATATGATATAAAATTTGTGAGGATTGTTTGGTGATGTTATTGCACAATGTGAAAAAAAAGTTAGGAATTGATGAAACAGTCAAACATACACATACTTGTATATGTACACCCTATGGGAAAACCAACACTTTTAAATGGCATCTTTTGAGCTGTTCTTTCAGATTAAATCATTAGATGTTAGAATAAAGGAATAGTTTAACAAATTCACTGGTAGAAAAAGCTCAATTTTAGGGTCCGAAATCAAGAGTCTCCTTCCAAAATCGGAAGAGTTGGCAAGTATATATATGCATACAGTTAAATGAGATGTAAAACTATGTGACTGAGTTAAATTTCAAATCAGTCAGTGAGTACAGTAAATTCCAAAATGGAATCATCCTATTATCCTTGTATTACCAAACCATTATTACTGGTTAACCCAACAACAGTCTCATACTATTGTATATGATTCACAGGCAACGAAATCAATACTTGAGAAGGAAGCTCCAGGGATGACTATTGCCATGCTGAAGAAATCTTTGGAGGTCACTGACCTAGCCATGTTGTCAAGGTCAGCAGAAGAAAAACTTAACAGTCTTTATAGATTTGTCAAGATTTTGAATATTTGTGTCCAAATATTTATAAAGCAGAAGGGGTTTTGTATACATATGTATCATTTCGTAATGCATAATAATGATAATATTTTTTCAGTCTCAGTCAGTTGTAAGGTTCAGAAAGAAGGCTTCACAACACTTGAACTCTGATGTGCTGGTATAACAGTGTAATAGGAATGTCTTGTATTTGCTAGCATTAAGGTAACCTGTGTTAGATTTTGTATCAGGAACCATGTTCAATTTAATTTCGTAGATATACCATATTTCTCCTGTGAAAAGCTCCTAATAATTTTCTAAAGATGAAAATGCTTCTTCCCAAAGGTATTGCTGTTTAACTGGTATTTATGTTTAACATAAAATATGATGCATAGATACAATATGATGCATATAACAGTTCCATTTGACCCAGAAAATCAGCATTCTATGAAGGGCAATTCGAAGTCAAAAAATACCCACACAGTTATTTAAAGATACTGTTTAGAGGTCCAGCACAAGTAAATTTATAATTTTATTTATTTTACAACAATTGTGAAACATGTTACTTTCTATCAACCTTATATTAATCACTTTTGTTGGCCCGGACGGGGTCCTAAGTTCCTTATGTGGGAGGAAACCAGAGGACCTGAAGAATACCGACATGGTCTGGCAGGTGACCCCATACCTTTTCACATCCATTTGGGGAACACAAATGCTCCTGATGCTGGAAATCAAACCCAAATTTACTATTACAACAGAGTTCAAATGCTAAAAGGAGCTTTTATTGGTATAAATCATTGCTTGGTTATGCCTGAGATGGTGTTATGTGTTTGTATGATAAAGAAAAGGAAACAAGCATTTATAAAAATATCATTGGGAGGCCAGGTAGTATAGTAGTAGGACGCCGGGCTCGTGACCAAAGGGGTGCTGGTTTGAGTCATGTTACGGCAATTTATTGTATCTTCGAGCAAGATACTTTACTCGGCTTGTTCTAGTCTACTTGGCTGTAAATGAGTACGTGGTTTGGCAGTGCTAGAATTGTTAAATGCTAGCTGTGAGTGTCACAATTGGCTGGTTGCAAAAGCCCTATTACCATGGATAATAATTTGTGGACCGCTTTGAGATGACCTACTGACTAGGTTGTGATAAAGCAGTATATAAGAACCTCAAATTATTGGGCAGTCATCAACAAATACATAAAATAATATTAAAACTTAATATGTAAAAGTATTATATTGTTGGTATCAGTAATTTTCAATACTTCTGTAGGTTGACTTGTGGTACAAGGGGTCACACGTTGGTTATCAACCTTCCTGGGAGTACAAAGGGCTCAGAGGTAATGTTATAACTATATTGTAGTGCCAGTTGTGTGTAGCACAAAGGGCTCGGAGGTTATGTTATAACTATATTGTAGTGCCAGTTGTGTATAGCACAAAGGACTCAGAGGTAATGTTATAACTATATTGAAGTGCCGGTTGTGTGTAGCACAAAGGGCTCGGAGGTAATGTTATAACTATAGTGTAGTGCCGGTTGTGTGTAGCACAAAGAGCTCAGAGGTAATGTTATAACTATATTGTTGTACAGATGGTGTGTAGCAGCTGTTTCATGTCATTTTATTAGCAAAGGACCATGGTGAGCTTATGCCATACCACAGCATCCGTCGTCCGTCCGTCAACTTTTCCTTTAAAGCGCTACTAGTCCTGAACGGCCAATTAGATTTTGACTAAATTTGGTCTGGAGCATCCTTAGGCCAAGGGGACTCAATTTTGTATAAATGGTGGGTGTGGCACTCCTGGGGGCAGAGGGGTGGGGCCCTATAAGGGAAATAGAGGTAAAACCTTTAAAATCCTTCTTCTATCGTAAGGATTAAGGGATTTTATCCTTATTTAGTCTGGAGCATCCTTGGGCCAATGGGACTCAATTTTGTACAAACCGTGGGTCTGGCCCCCTAGGGGCCTGAGGGGCGGGGCCCAATAGGGGTAATATAGCAAATTCTTTAAAATCCTTCTTCTTCTTTTGTAGGAATGAAAGGATTTGTTGCATATTTGGTCTGAAGCATCCTTGGGTGAAGGGGAACCAATTTGGTATAAACCGTGGGTGTGGCCCCCCAGGGGCTTGAGCGGCAGGGCCCAATAGGGGAAACATAGCAAAATATTCTTTAAAATCCTTCTTCTTCTGTAGGAATGAAAGGATTTGGTCCATATTTAGTGTGGAGCATCCTTGTGCCAAGGGGACTCAATTTTGTATAAATGGTGGGTCTGGCCCCTCTGGGGCCTGAGGGGCGGGGCCCAATAGGGGAAATATAGCAAATTCTTTAAAATCCTTCTTCTTTTGTAGGAATGAAAAGATTTGTTCCATATTTGGTCTGAAGCATCCTTGGGTGAAGGGGAACCAATTTTGTATAAACCGAGGGTCTGGCCCCCCAGGGGCAGAGGGGCGGGGCCTTTCATTCTTACAGAAGAAGAAGGATAGGGGAAACATAGTAAATTATTCTTTAAAATCCTTCTTCTTCTGTAGGAATGAAAGGATTTGGTCCATATTTTGTGTGGAGCATCCTTTGGTAAAGGGGAAACAATTTTGTATAAATAGTGGGTGTAGCCCCCCTTGGACCTGAGGGATGGTCCCAATAGGGGAAATAGAGGTAAAACCCTTTAAAATCGGTCCCAATAGGGGAAATAGAGGTAAAACCCTTTAAAATCCTTCTTCTACCATAGGGATTAAGGGATTTTATCCTAGTTTAGTCTGGAGCATCATTGGGCAAAAGGGACTCAATTTCGTATAAACAGTGAGTGTGGACCCTCTTGGGGCAGAAGGGAGGGGCCCAATAGGGGAAACATAGCAAATTCTTCAAAATCCTTCATCTTCTTTAGGAATGACAGGATTTTGTCCAAATTTGGTATGAAGCATCCTTTGGTGAAGGGGAACCAATTTTGTATAAACGGTGGGTATGACTCCCCTAGGGGCATAGGGTTGGGGCTCTGTTTGAAATTTGTTCTCGCTATATCTCAAGTACTGGATGGATCTTTTTGAAATTTTATATGTACTTACAGCACCTACAATGGAGTGATATATCTTTACTTCATACTAATTATTTTAAACATATTCAGGTGAGCGATACAGGCCCTCTGGGCCTCTTGTTTTCAATGTGATATGATGTGACAGATATTTAAAGAGCTACTGTAAAACAGATAATTATCTGAGTTTCGGAATAATATTCTTCAGTTTGGTATAAATAATAAGGCTAAGTTTGTTTTGAACACAAACAGGAATTGAAAGCTTATTTTGCCAGCTTTCGAAAACGTCTTAACATCCACTAAGCAGCGGAATGGGTAAATTAAACATGTTACCTGTCCTTGCCTCTGTCTGCCAGCAGTTTTAGAGTGCAATTGGGTAAAATGTCTCTATGATTTTTTACGACTGACTGTACTTGATTCGGCTCACTGTCGCTTTTATTAGTGAGTTGTTTTCAGCGGTTTAGAGTTGAGACACTTGTCACTTACACTCTTTGCTTAACAGAGGAAACAGATGTTTTCGAAAGCTCGCAAAAGAAGTTTTCGATTCCTGTTTGTGTTCAAAACAAGCTTAGCCTGTAATTATCCAAGTGTCCATAAATGCTGGAATTTAAATCATATATCATAGCATGCTGATATGTATTTCTTTATATTAGCTTATGATGAAATTGATTTTAAATTAAAATTCTAAATAGTGATGTTAAGTTAAAAATATATGTAGCAGTTTTTCATTTGACTAGTATTTTACTTATTTTTAATAAAACATTTGCCTTTAGGAATGTTTCCGGTTTGCCTTGCCGGGAATCCCCCATGCTGTGGACCTCCTCAGAGGTCGTGAGCGGTCGGTGAAAGACACCCATGCCAAGCTGCAGGCAGAGGGTGTTGTTGAGCCATCCAAGGTCAGTACCAAAATAAGATACATATTCCATATCTGGCCATGTGTACTGTACTATTTGATATTTAATGCAATAACCCTAACTTCAAAGACATGCCCTCCCCACAATCCTCCTGTTTGTAAGAAGGTCTCTACATGATATCACTCACCAGTTCAGTACCCTCACTTTGATATTTGTTTGATTTATCGGAGGAAGCTGTGACATACAGTAAAATATGACATCAATAGGATTTTCTTTCAAAAATGAAGCATGTTGGTACTAATAGAAACCTAAGGGATAACATATTGAACAGGAGTCGACCCGAGGCCGATGGGTCTTCTGCTCAATATTTTATCCCGCGGGATGGAATGACCTTATCCATACATCACATCAGGGATGGATTCTATTTTTTGCTTATTACCTAAAACCCGTAAAAAAACAGCTGCTCTTCTAGTAAAGTTGTAAACTGTCCGCACATTTCTCATTTGCATATGAAGCCTGCATGGTAATTGTTAATGACGTCAATCACCCTGACTGACCCTAAAACGTCATAAAATGACATCATGAACAATAGTGTGACCCCGAAAGGTCACTATAAATTCCACGCCATTCTGCGCCTTTAAACAATCCAGACCTGTGGGTAAGATAGAGTTTTTCAGCACCGCCGGAAATGCGGATATCTCGGTCAAGTATGCAATCTCTCGAGCATGTTCTGGGCGATTTGGATGTGGAAACGGGTATTTTCCCTGGTACTGCTATGGGGATGTGGAAACAGGTATTTTCCCTGGTACTGCGCGCTGTGTACTTGTTCTGACTAAAGTAAATAAACCCACATTGTAGACAATGATATAGAGACACTGTATTTTAATTATTAGTAGTCACAGTTCTCATTATAAAGCTGTTCAGTAGGAATCTGCTGTTTAAGCTTGTAGTGGTGTCATCTTGCTAGTCATATTTAGATTGCTTGTAAAAAAATCAAACTTAACTTTGTTCATTAATGTACAGCTTGCTAATTCCACATGGAAACAATGTGAATAATTTACTCTGTAAAGAATAAAGCACTTCTTCCCTTTATCAAATTACGTTTGTTTTTTATTTCATCTAACTTTTTGAGATAACATCTTGATCCTTGTCATATTTGAATTGGAATAATACTTTTATAGTGTTTTCAAAAAATGGAAGGAGTGACGGAATAGAATTCAATGACATACAATATAACTTTTAATTGTGATATTAAAGTTTAGAAAAGGGAAATCTAGATTATATAGGCTTACTTAAATGTAGGTATAGAATAGGTGTAGACATATGTATTTGCTGGTTTGGTTTGTTTGGGGTTTTACTTCCTCACAATATTTAAGGTCATTGGATTTTGGTAGACAGGTATGGGAGGTTAACAAGTCCACATAATATAGAAACATGAAAACACTTGTACCATTACTTGTATTAAGAGATCACCTGTGTTAGGAGACCACGTTTAATGTTCCCCTTTGAAGTGATTTCATTGTGAACTGATCGTGTATTAAGAGACCACCTGTGTTGTGAGACCACCATTTTGACTTCTAAGTTCTAGATGTTGGACTCTTAATACAAGTTGGATTATATAAATATGTACAAATAGAGGTATATATAGGAAAGGTGGGAACAAATGTATGGACTCTGAAATACTACCAACAGTCACATGTTTTCAATGAACACATTTTTCATTATGAGAACAAAAACATTTTTTTACATTTTAGTTTTAAGTTTGTTAAACCTGCACTTACCATCTTGCACTAACAGGTGATTTGTGTAGAGAACAGTAATTTGTTTCTGATGCTTGTTTATGTAGGAATCCTGTTTAGTTAGGTATCACATGGGTTAGGATGCATGCTCTGGTCATGAAGGACACATTTACCTTGTAGCACCATGTAACAGTGAGTGTTTCTGATTTGCCCAGGCCCTCCAGGAGGAGATGCTCCGGAGCTGTGCATCTGAGGTCCTCATCAGCAAGACCAGGAGTGGTCAGGTCAGGAAATACATTACCCAGTCCAAGCGTCTGACAGGTGTCCGGAGGGTCACTAGAATAGGGGCCATTATGAGAGATAACTTAACCAGCAAGTCTAAGCGCACTGCTGTTAAGGACGTGAATAAATCTCTGGCGGTATCTCCTGATATAAGGAATGATTCTCTGCAACAGGCATCAGACAAGGCTTTAAACAGTCTGCAAGAAGGTGATGAGGTCAGTAGATCTGATATCAATGAAGAAAGTGTCCATGGTAAAAATATTTCTCTGCCAATGAGTGTAAGTGGATTAAATCAGAAAACTACTCCTTCAGACACAGTTTTCTCTATGATAGAGAAGGCTTCTCAGTCTAATGGAAATGACTGTGAATCTTCAGGTCAGGAAGTGGCACACCTGCTAGGGTCTGGTCCTTTGGGAGAGGAAAGCATTACCCTTCCCTGTGATGACATATCAGACCCTAGGTTTTGTCAGCTGTCTGTCGGCGAGTCTTCTCCTTGTTATGGAGAAACAGCAGCAAAGATGGAAGTGAAAGAGAATGTTGCCACAACGAGTCGTACAACACAGATTGAGCAGCTTAGTAAAGGTCCCAATATTTTACGTGGGAGTACAGGAACATCAATAGAACAGCTAACCTCTGATGGTGCTGAGGTCACGAGACATGTACTGAGAGTGTTGGAGGACCGACAGACACTTTTTACTCCCATATCTGATGGAGGGGGTGGTGCTTATGACAGCTTTGATACTCCTGAAATAGATCACTCGCAGAGTTCCATGGAAACGTGTTTGGAGAATTCCTTGTTGGACAGAGCTGGAAGTATGGAGCCCTGTGTCAGTGAATCTAATGTTACAATGGATAATACAGAAAACACTAAACTTTTCAAAGTTTTTGACTTCAACACGGAACCTTCATCAAATTTGTTAAAACCAAAGAGAAAAAGACAGTCCAAGAAGAGTAACAAAGATATCTGCCCAATTATTCCTGCTAAAATACACAGAAAGTCTAGCAAAGGTGACATTTGTTGTGTTGAAGTGGGTAATACATTGAGAGAATTTCTAGACAATCACCAGATGATCAAAGGTATCTATCTCAACAAGGGCAAACGACACATCAAAAAGGAACTGGTACAGCTAAGGCGACAAGATAATGCTGTAGACAAGAGTAGCTGGCAAAGAGGAAATAACATCCATGAAAGGAATCGTTTGGACGATTACTTTGAATTGACTGAAGCTGGAATGAAGAAGAAGGATTTGGTCGACACAAAGAAAGCTAGAGATGAATTCGCTGTCAACTGGTACATGTGGTGTCCTGGAAGGGGAAACTGTCAACGAAAGTGTGGGGGAATCGGTAAATGTGCTGAAGGTACGTGATCTCTTCAAAATGTCACAATAACACATATGTATCAAGGAGTAAATCATCAGATGGTCTGTCATACTTTCCAATAAAGAAATCCTGATAACAAGTGTGTATTATTAGGTGATACTCAAAACTCTTACGGTTCCCTTAAGTTTCCCCGGCTGAAGATAGGCATTCTTTTAAATTGTCTTACTGGTAATAATGTTTTAATGACTTTGTGAAGGATAAACGATTGGGAATATTTTTAAGGATAAATATTACAAATTGAAAAAAACCCTCTAAATACTTACACCCAAAATATATGTTACGATTATTGAAATACGTTTCTTACATTTGAAACAAATTTTTCTCATACCACTTTCTTAAATACCCTTAAATCATTTTATATTTGTATTTAGTTTATCTCTCAAACTATAGATGCCTTTATTTGATATATGTTATTGATTGAGAGGATGTTGTTTCAATATTGATAATGATTATATCTGAAATAATACTTGTGAGTGTCCTTTGACAGAAATAAATGGAAAAACTAATGTCTCATTATATTATTATCGAAAAATTGCCCCAGGAAAACCCCCCAGACATTTTGATTTATACCGTTGTCCTTCGTCCATGGTTCGTCGTCCGTCTGTCAACTTTTTCTTTTGAACGACTTCTTCTGAAGAACTGAAGGACCTAAGGTCATGATATTTGGCCAGTAGGTACCTGGGATGGAGTGCTGTAAAGTTTCCTCATTTAAATGACCTTGACCTACTTTCAAGGTCACAGGGGTCAAATATGTTAAAAAATTCAAACAACAATATCATAAGAACCATTTGGACTAAAGTCATGATACTTGATTATGTTATGAAGACTAACAATGCGAATCTTTTTTTTTTAATTACAGAAAAGGGATCAAAGGTCAACTTTAAGTGCTAGTTGGGGGTCAAAGGTTAACATAGGTTAAAAGCTTTAACAATCTTCTTCTCAAGTTCCATAAGGCCCAGGGTCATGCTATTTTGCCAGTAGGTACCTGGGATGGAGTGCTATAAAGTTTCTTATTTAAAATGACTTTGACCTACTTTCAAGGTCAAAGGGGTCAAATATGTTAAAAACCTCAAACAACAATATTCCAAGAACCATTTAGACTAGAGTCATGACACTTGAGTATGTTATGTAGACCAGCAGTGCGAATATTTTTCTTTATTACAGAAAGGAGTCAAAGGTCAACTTTAAGTGCTAGTTGGGGGTCAAACGTCAACATAGGTTAAAAGCTTTAACAATCTTTTTTCTCAACTTCCATAAGGTTCAGGGTCATGATATTTGGCCAGTCACCAGTGATAGAGTGCTATACAGTTTCTTCTTTAAAATGACCTTGAATAACTTTCAAGGTCACAGGAGTCAAATATGTTAAAAACTTCAAACAATGATATCCTAAGAAGCATTTGGTTTAGAGTCATGGTACTTGGTTATGTTATGAAGATCAGCTGTGAATCGTTTTCTTTATAACAGTAATGAGGTCAATTGTCAACTTTAAGTGCTAGCCAGAGTCAAAGGTCAACATGGGTTAAAAGCTTTAAAATTAGAATTTGAAATTTCAAACAACAATATCTTAGAAGCTTTTAAGAGATGTTAAAATGTCTTGTGTAATAGTTACAAAATTTGGTCTGAAGTAACCTATATGTCAGTTTCATGTAACAAAAGAAACAGGTTAGCGATACAGGCCCTCTGGGCCTCTTGTTTTCGAATCACTTTCTATTTATGTTATCTTTTTAGATGTATTTTTATAATTTTTTCATGGAGGATTTTTTACATGTTTTTTTTGTTTGTTTGTTTAAATATAATATTAAATATTAATATTAAAATGAGGTTTCACGGTCGGAATTCTGTTCATATGCTTTAAGTAAGCAACAATAGTAGTTTCAATAACAATAAAGGCAGAATAACCAATAGGCACTAGTCATTACATTAAGTTAATTGTATGCTTTCAGGCTGTGAGGGAATGACCCACAAACAGGACAGACACAACTGTTCTATGATGGTGAACTTGAAGCTGTTTCTTAGTGACCTTACACAATGGCGTGTGAACATAACTGGGAGCCATATTCCCACGGACTCCCTAATACCCTGGCGTCGTCCACCCCGGGAGGGTGAAAGACTGGGTGAGGTCATCAGGGACGAGATTATGTCAAAGTCCAACAAACCGGTCAGTACATCTTCTGCAGATATTCAGGAGGTTCTTGCTGAGAAAAAACTACTTCCAAGGTCATCTAAGGTCAAGCGGAGGATTAACAGATTTGTTACGGGAATGAGGAGACGCCATGCATGTAAAGAACAAGACAAATCTATTTCCAATGTGCCAACTCAAGTGAACTTAGTGAAAGATGTAAGTGTGCTATCGGGAAGGACATTACCTACACTACAAAAACGTCAGGATAATCATGATCAGAACATCAGTGATCAAAATGTAACTGTGTACCAGGTGCTTCACAAAATGACCAATCTACCAATGGCACCGTCTGGGTCAGTGGTTCAGAGTACCAACTTTTCCCCCTCATTCGGTCAGCAGAACTTATCTCCGTCAACAATGGGGACAGACTCTGGTCAGACTGGACAGTACAGCTACCCTTCAGTGGCAGTGCCTGCTGTGGCCATGGGTGTTGGTATGGCTGGTAATGGTCAGCAGCCTGTGTTCGTTACACCGTCATCTCAATCTGTGTGTGATTCTGTGCCTTTGTTTATTACCCCAATACAGTGATCTCAAAGACAGTCTACGTATATACTGGAAATCAATCAATCATGCACAAATAGACAATGGTCAGACTGAGCGGATGGAAAGTACAGCTGATCAACAGGACCAACACTCACTGTTGCTATGGGTGTTGGCATGGTCAAATTCAGGAATCTCAAATTTGTTGATTGTTGAGTGTCAAGGATGTTCATTGTCGAAAGATTGACTTTGATTAATATACATTTGAGTTAGTTATGAGTGTTGAAGATGTTCATTGTCGAAAGATTGACTTTGATTAATATACATTTGAGTTAATTATGAGTGTTGAAGATATTCATTGTCGAAAGATTGACTTTGATTAATATACATTCAAGTTTGTTAATTCTCAGGTATGATCTATATTCTGTATGGGTGAAGCCAATACATATGTTAGACTTGAGAACTACCAAAAGTGCATCTCGTGGGTTATATTTTAGAATTAAAACACTGGAATAGATACAAATTGTAAGCGATTATCACAAGTTGTATACTGAAAAGTGGAAATTTCGGTAGTGTGGAAATCTTTTTGTTTTCGCGTTGAGTAAATTAGAGTGGAAATATCCACATGCCAATGAATATCTAAAGATTATAGATAAATAAAATATATAGGTTTCAGAAATATTGCCAATATTAAAATTTCCACATGATCCGTTTAAAGGGTCGTAACATGAACATTTCCACATGTGAAAAATTCAATTGTTTTCTCTCATAACAGTGAATACATATCAGACTTTTTGATAAATAATTCCATGTTTCAATCACAGTTAACATGTTACAAGTATAATTACACTTTTAATGTTTATCAGCTAATGACATTGTCATAATCTTGTAATAAGTCTGATACAGATACACTCACTTCAGGTACCACAAGGCAATTTCTATATATCTTGAAAGGAACATTTTAAAAAGAAAACTGTTACTTAACGATGCAGTATGAACCTAAATATATAGATTAATTAATGAACAGCACTACAGATTTACACAATGCTACAGATGTAGATTTTCTCAGTATTTTCTCAGTAAAGAAATTTATAAAACAATGTAAATTCCTTAATTGTCAGTGACAATGTTTGCTTTAAATATGAAATACATGTCATAATAATATGATACCATTATGCAAGAATTTATTTTGTTATACAAGTGGTCTTATTGTTTTCAGTTTAATATGCAAAAAATAATGATATAAGTTACTTTTATTTTTACACTTGCATCAGGTGCAGACACAGGAATTCTTGTTAGGGATGTTGCAAGTTAAAAGTTTGCTCAATATTTTCTTGTGGCACTACCCCTCCATATGTTAGAATTTTTTTGAGGGGCTAGGTATTTGTTTTGGAGAGGTAATTTTGCTTGGAGGTCATTAATTGACGGAGAGTTAGTAGTATTTGTTTTGGGGGTATTATTTGTTTTGGATTTTAAGTACAATGTACTTTTGGGAGGGGGTACTAATGGTGTGTAAGATAATCTATTTCTATGGTTTTCCTGAATCTTTGGTTATATATGCTTTTAGTTAACTTTGACTCCTGCATTTTTCAAATGATCTAATAGCTCAAATAAAGTACAATGTACCTATATGCCCTTAAAATGCTTGCAATATGGATTGATCTGTAGGAGCTTTTTTATTTCACTCTATCTGTTAAGCTGTTCTATTAATAATAACATGTTTTGGTGAAGCCAAAGTGTATTTTGACAAATACATACAATTTCATATGTTGTGTGACATAAAATCGCCATGAAGCTTTTTCCTTTTTTGTATTTTGTATTTTTTTCATAACCCCTTTATTTATCATAGGAAAAATCTTCCTATAAACATTATAAACCTATTCTCCTCTCTCATATTTTTCTTAAAATGTAAATTGTTAGAAATTTTTCCAAATTTATTTTTACTGTTTGCTATTTAAAGAAATATTGCAAGATTAATATTTTTTACTGATGTTTAGAATTTTCTGGTTATTTTCAGATCAAAATCTTTGCTCAGAGTAACAATTCATGAGAATCTATTTTCTGGCCCCAAAATTACATAGAAAACACTTCATCAAATCATACTTATAAAAGACTTTGATATTTTGGTAGATGCTTAAAATCAAATATCTTGGTTTTGGTTAAAGTACCACAATTTTGAGGAGTTATCTCTCTTCATTCACGTTTTGTTGGCACTAAGCCACAGTATAGCATACTGTATAACTGTATTGACACTTGTCAGATGACTAATGTTTCTGTATACAAGACTAATGATGAAATGCCTTGTTGATGATAGTTTGTGATCTTGCCATGCAGATTTCTTTATTTCAAGTATTCAATCAGAATATATACATATGTACATGTACATGTACATGTAATTGGATTGATATTTGTATGTAAACAGATATCTACAATTGTACTGGATATTTGGAAATGTTGCCTAGTCAAATATTCACGGTTCACATGTAAAAACCATATTCACCTCTAGCTTTAATTCTGTTCTCATGTTATCACTTTTTTATGGTATGTTGTGGAGTTTAAATTACTGTCATGATAAACTTGCCCTCCATGAAGGAGCAGAAATAACGAAAGGTGAGGCAGCAGTGAACATTTCCATATATACAGTATATATTATAAGTATTATCACTGAGAACTCTGACTACTTTTCCACTGTTTTGATGAACTGTAATTTTGCATTGTTACATTAAAAATATTACTGAAATACAGTTTTTATCTTGTGAGACAAAACCTTGATTTTAATCAATTCATTTCATATGAAAAGAATTGGAGAATTTGTCATTGAAATCATCATGCTCTAATAGAAACACCAAATCCAATGTTGTCACAGATGCCGTGATATAAGTGTAATGCAAAATATAGCTATCCTGACAGAAAAATAAAAAAAAATAACATGTTGTCATTCATCGCCACATTAATCTGCAGTTACATCTGACATCATATGACAACTTTCTGAAATAATGGATCATTTTAATTATTGGCCATTTTCTTAATTTTTTCCTGTTAAATATATATGTAAAGGTACATGTGTCAAAAGCCTCTGAGCAATTGAAAAAAATAATCCATACTTTTTAATATAAACAACAACAACAACAAAAATTTGCCGTTGGTTTTTCTACCAAACTCCATTGAAAAAGTATTCTCATTTGTGTTCATTCATGCCTAAACAAAGCAGTAAATTCTATACTCAAGATTTTTAAGATTTAATTATTTGAAAGTATTCCCACATTGACTCGAATACTGAGCACTTCTTGGCAGCTATCCATTGTATTCAAAGGAAAACAACCAATATGTACAATAGATGGAACATCACAGGTCATTCGTGTACATTCCTATTGCTGTACACTGTTATGGAAAGTTCTTATGTTCAGTCTTGACACTAATGACAGGATAAATGGTTTTGAAAGTTAAAGATAGTTATTTTCAGTGGATTGTTAGAAAATGGCCTCTTTGCATAATTTTGAAATTGACCATTGCAGTTATTGCTTTTTATCAGAATGTAGAGACATTTCTCAATTTTGACATGTATGATGCTCTTGTTCGCTAGTCCGGCATATTTCGTTTAGAAAACTGATGGCACTACTAAAAAAAAAGACAATTACAGACACAATCAAATTAACAGATCTAACTATGATGGTGCAGATGTTCTAATAGTAACTCTTGTATTGTGGTGTTACACCAAAGACGGTAATAACGCCGGCATGGGACTAAAGTGGAGAGAAATTGTGCTAAGTATTAGGCGTGCAGGCTGACATATTCACCACTTTCATTGCACTTGGGTTTATGTTGGTAAAGGATTACAAGTATGGGGACAATCTATCTCACCTCGATCACGCACACCCCAAAGGACACCACCACGGAGGGAGTGGTCATCACCATGGCGAGAGGGGTCATCACCATGGAGAAAGGGGTCATCACCATGGAGGTCATCATCATGGAGAAAGTGGTCATCACCATGGAGAGGAAGGTCATCATAATACCAAGAAAGCAAATGCCGGAGATGGACATCATCACCATCATGGTCACGGCCATAGTCATCACCATGGACACGGCCATGGTCACCACCATAGTCACCATGACAGCAGTAAGTTAAAATGTCAACCTGACTTTATTTTAATATCCCCCGTTTTCACGAACGGGGGATATTAATTTGGATTTGTCTGTCTGTCTGTCTGTCCCGTTTTGTTTCCGTGCAATAACTACAACAAATGTTAACCAAATTTTCTTCAAACTTGGTCACAGGTTTAAATACCTGAAGGGCTCGGCCAAGTTCGATGACAACATTCGGCGGACCCCATTTGGCAGAGTTATGGCCCCTTGAATAATGAAAAACTTCATTATCTGCCGCCGTTTCGTATCGCGCTTCGTATCCGTGCAATAACTACAACAAAGGCTCGGCCAAGTTTGACAACCACTTTAATCAGACTCCATTTGGCAGAGTCATTATCTGCATGCAGTTTCCACTTAATAATTCTATCAAATATTAGATAAGGCTTTTTAGGTCACCTGTGACCTATTGCTATCCGTCTTCGTCCCTCGTTGTTCGTCGTCCGTCGTCTGTTAACATTTTACATTTTCAACTTAAGCTGAAATACTGGCAAAGGGATTTCATCAATATTTCATGGGGAAGGTTACTGACATCTCCCTGACCAAGTGTTGTTATTTTTCGGGTCGATCAGAAATCTAATATGGCCGCCACGGCCGCCATTTTTAAAAACTATATCAAACTTAAAGTCAAGTTCTACTGGGCCGATTGAACTGAAACCTGGTAGGAATTATCAACTCATGGTCCTGACAAAGTGTTGTTATTTTTCGTGTCCATCAGAAATCCAATATGGCTGCCACGGCCGCCATTTTGAACAACTGTTTCAAACTTAAAGTCAAGTTCTACTTGGCCGATTGAACTGAAACTTTGTAGGAATGATCGAATCAAGGTCCTGACAAAGTGTTGTTATTTTTCGGGTCGATCAGAAATTCAATATGGCCGCCACAGACGCCATTTTGAAAAAAGTTTTTCAAACTTAAAAACAAGTTCTAATAGGACTCCAATACAAGTGTTGATACTCTCTAACGGTATCAGAACATTCAATTCTTATTCATTAAATGTTTCAACAGTAGTTTGAATAATTTGGATTTCAAACGTTTTGTTCCCTAGTATCGCCGATCAATTATAGAAGTGGACGAAACAGCTGTTTGATGCAGCGTAATTCATAATTGGCAAACAGTATCTATTATAAAATGTTAAAGGTGTCATCACATGTGTTACGTTCATCTTTCTAGGACACGATACTGTATGTTTAAGGGCGATATATATGTATAGATTTGGTATTGAAGGGACGTAATATGGACAGATATACCGGTGTAAAGCAAAATATCGAAAACAGAGACTTTGGTGACAGGTTAGTGTGTTGAATTGCAGTAGACTAATATATACTCCGCAAAAACAAAGGGTAACTCCTCACCCTGCGGACTACATTGTAATTGGTGAAAATGAAACTTTTTTTGTGTGGTATTAACAGTCGAAAGTGGACTACCTACCAAGTGATATCCTATGCATTAAAATCATTCAGTCATGGAAGTCTTTAGTCAGTAACTCGTGAACTACACCAATGACTGGCCAAAAATGTGAATTTAATTCTTCTATCACCATGTGACGAATGTACATTCGTGACAAATTATCACCAATACGCATTTTCATTATGCCCCGGCTGGTACAATTTGAGCTGCTACATTTGAGAGTGTATCAACGTCAGGTTGCACGACACTTTGGTTCAAGTGTTAGGAAAATAAACATTTTGTAACATCGTCTGAACTAAATCTGGCCCATCAGACCGTTGCGAAGAAGCAGTCCCAGTGTAACAACCGCTCGGGAAGACCCTCGGATACGGTGTTGCATCAGCGTAATCCCCTGGCCTTTCAGCGAGAACACAAGGACATTGGTTGTCTTGTATCCGCCCAAACTATCCCTAACTGAAAGTTACCCGATTAAGTTTAAAGTAACCTAATCAAAAGCGCAACACCCTTACACACGGCCCATTTTGAAACAACGTCATTGTAAATGCCGCTTTCATTGGGCCTGTAAAAAGCGTTGTTTGTTGTAACGCCAATGGAACATTGCTCTTTTTACGAATGATCTAGGTTCTGCATGCCACCTGTTGATTGAAGGCGGTGAGTCTGGATACACTCAGGTAAATACATTGCGAACTGTTGCGTCGTTAAACGGGACGTTGTATTCAGGTATATACATTGCGGACTGTTGCGTCGTTAAACGCGACGTTGTATCCAGGTAAATACATTGCGAACTGTTGAGTCGTTAAACGGGACGATGTATCCAGGTAAATACATTGCGAACTGTTGAGTCGTTAAACGGGACGATGTATCCAGGTAAATACATTGCGAACTGCTGCGTCGTTAAACGGGACGTTGTATTCAGGTATATACATTGCGGACTGTTGCGTCGTTAAACGCGACGTTGTATCCAGGTAAATACATTGCGGACTGTTGTGTCGTTAAACGGAACGTTGTATCCAGGTAAATACATTGCGAACTGGTGCGTCGTTAAACGGGACGTTGTATCCAGTTAAATACATTGCGGACTGTTGCGTCGTTAAACGGGACATTGTATCCAGGTAAATACATTGCGAACTGCTGCGTCGTTAAACGGGACGTTGTATTCAGGTATATACATTGCGGACTGTTGCGTCGTTAAACGGGTCGTTGTATCCAGGTAAATACATTGCGGCCTGTTGCGTCGTTAAACGGGACGTTGTATCCAGGGAAATCCATTGCGCACTGTTGCGTCGTTAAACGGGACGTTGTATTCAGGTATATACATTGCGGACTGTTGCGTCGTTAAACGCGACGTTGTATCCAGGTAAATACATTGCGAACTGTTGAGTCGTTAAACGGGACGATGTATCCAGGTAAATACATTGCGAACTGTTGCGTCGTTAAACGGGACGTTATATCCAGGTAAATACATTGCGGACTGTTGTGTCGTTAAACGGAACGTTGTATCCAGGTAAATACATTGCGAACTGGTGCGTCGTTAAACGGGACGTTGTATCCAAGTAAATACATTGCGAACTGTTGCGTCGTTAAACGGGACGCTTTTGTTGGCGGTAGCGTGTGGTTATCGTGTGGTTATCGAGCCGAAATTTAGGGCACATTGGTACTCCCGTTATTACAACGTCATGGCACTAGTGCCAGTCTCGTCAACAGCAAAAAATGGAACCTTGGGCATGCCAATATCAATTACAATACTTATGTGTACCATTGGTCTTTACTCAAATCATCACTAATGAAATGTATGCAATGTAACTACTTTTTGAGACTGTTACATCATTTCAGTAAGTTGAAAGATGAGAAAAATAAAAATAAAAACAATGTATTTTTTCTCTCTCTATTGTAGCGATCAGAGAGTGTCATTGTGTTAAGTGTCCGTTTTATACTTCCGCAGCTTTAAGGGAGAGTGGCAATATGGAAACTAGGTGTTGGAATTGAAATGATAGAAACATGATATGTTGTTTAAGATAAACAAAACATGGTAATTAAGTAAAATACAGGACAGATTTTCCTTTGAAACTAAAACATAACATGATGCACTTTCTGCTACACTGTATTTCTAAAGAGCTGTGTCAGTTTACGGGAAGTTAATATCGAAGAGAAAGGGTGAGAAAATAGAAAAAAATATATATTTAGTTACAAGGTTCTGAT